CTTTTAAATTGAACTGAGTTAGTGCTCACTAACAGATTTGCTATAGATGAAGTGGCACTACCAGCCTTTATTAGCAGGATTTTGGACAGAAAAGTGGCAGAAATGGAATGGGGGAAGACATGCAGCAAAGGTCCTGAGGTCAGAAGTCGAACCCTGAACAGCTGCATCGACGACTAATAGCCTCCATCACAGAGGCACTACCATTCTGCCACATGCAACCCTGCTTGTTAGTTTTCCTTATTTGAAATGTCATTTGCATGTAAAAAAGAAATGTAAATGCATCTGAGCACGTCTGTTTCTGCATTAAGGTTTGCAGGGCTTGAATAATTATTGTTTAATCACACTTTAAATGCAACAATTTAGGAAAACATGATTGCGTACAGGAGGCTTGTTACACGTACGGCTACATTTCTACCTCTAATGAGATACCAGCCCGACATGCTAGCCTTAACATGCATAGCAGGGTTTACACACGCTAACACATGGAGGAAAGCCTAATGAGATTCAGAAACACCATTAGACTTGTAGATCAGGGTTAGGTCACTTGCTCCGGCTCTTGATTTAATGAATGTTTCATCTCTAATCAGAGCAAAAAGGGGGAACAAAACACTGAGAATGTGGGGAGAGCGGTTTAGGAAGGCTGCTGGAAATAATTGATTTCTGTTGTTTTTCAATCTTACCTGACTTAAATACACACTATTAACCAACCGAGCAGAGATTGGGAAGGAGATATCCATCGGAGGATTAAACAGATAAATCCCCAGAAGTGAAACATATAACCTTGCTGCTCTTTTGCTCTCTGCCGAACACACTCATGAGGATTGACTGCTCTCCCTCTTTAAAGCACCACTTTTCACTATTTAAACAACTGGGAGATATAAAGCATCTCTTTTTTCCCTTCCATTTATTCTCCCTCTGCAGCACATCCTCAGACGCTCGTAAACACAAGCAGACTCGGTGGTCTAATTACGAACATTGCTGACGGTGTGGTCTGTCATCCATCACCCAGCTCACCCATCCATCTTCCCTCTATCTCGTCTTATCCTCCTGGTTTTTCTCTGTGTTTATTTCAGCTCCGATGGCTCCTTCTCGCTACTATCCTTCTTTCCAACTTTACTGACATTGTCGCAGAGAGTGGTAATTAATTTCCTCTAACTTTCTTTTTTTCTGATCTATATCCCTCTCCCAAGAAGAAAACATAAAGTTTCTCTTTCTTCATGCTAAATGTTTCACTGCTTTATTGCTGTCAGGAATTAAACCATGTTTAATAGTGTTAGTTTAGAACACAAAAATTAATTTGTGTAATTAAAAAACAATACAAAATATTTCTGTTGGAGTATTTGTCTTATGCTAGTTCTGATTTGTTTGTTTTTTTGTTGACAATTTGTCAGTGTTTCATGCAATTATTCCCTCTTGGATGCTGTGCAGCTGGAACGATTACGTTTTTGCTTTCAAACCAAAATATAAAATAACCCCTGAACTACGACCCCAAATCTCAGAGGAGTTTAAAAAGAGGGTTGACAGATGCAGAGGAAAGACAGAAGGAGGGAGTTCAAACTATCCTTTCCATTTAATTGCCACTCAGAGATTTAAAGAGGTGCAGCAAAAGCAAATGAGGTGGATTACCAGTGCTTAGCTCATTGACATGTTACTCTGGGTTAAAATCTCTGCTGCCCAGAAATGGAGATGTTAGCATATTCTGATAGTCATACAGCAGCAGTCTTCAGTCAGAGGCTTCTTCAGAGACGTTGTAAGACTGACTGCTACTGGAAATCCTTCCCACCTACACCATCCACAATAACATTTTGAAGATAGTTGGATGATATCACTTATGACAATGTTTAATTTCCCTTTGGTATACATAAAGTATTTTTGATTTGAATACACAATCTGTATATTGGATTGGGATCTGGACTTTGACTAGGCCATTCCAGAACATTCTCTTTATTGTCTTTAAGTGAAGCTTTTTGCTGTACGTTGGGGTTCCAGAACCTGCTGCTGCATCCCCACAGCATGATGCTGCCAACATTATTCCTTACAGTTGAAACGATGTATTTGTGGCCATAATCAAAGTTTAAAAAAAAAAAAACACATAGCATCTTATGTGATGGCTTTCATCTTATTGGACCACAGACCTTCTGGTCTACTAAATACCTTTAATGTCCTTGCCTGAAAAGCTTGCAAAATCAAAACGCCTCCAGCTGCTTTTTAAAAGAATCATCAGAAGCTATAGATCCTTTCTGCTCAAAAAGTGTGTTTGGGGATCAAGTAACAGACTGTAAGGATGTGGGATAGGGTCAGATCCGAGATCAAAGGAGAAATTGACTGCAAAAAGCAACCTGGGTTTTTAAAAAGAGCTCTAAAATGAACTGATAACCACTGAAGCAAAGCTAAAACTGATGTATGTAATATATTGTGGGTTAAAAGCTGAACAGCAACAATCTGGACAAATAAAAAGGAAATTACAATAGTTCATGCGATAAAAATGAAAAATGTGACTCAGGCTTTGTTCTCGTAATTTCAAAAAGCATTGCCCAGTCAAAACACGTTCCTAACTTCCTATGATTTAGCAGAGCAGACAAACCTACAGCTTCAGGGTGTCGTTTAATTTAGTGTTTTTTATTGTCGGCTGTGTGCAATCTTCTTCCCCAGCCAGTCAGTTTGTGAGGACAGCCGGACCAGAGCCATACTCCTCATTTTCTTTATGTATTGATTGAACTGTTGTGTTCTGAAGCAGGCCAAAGCGCAGACAGGAACTTGGTATTTCTGTCTGCACTTTTTAATGAATAAATAAGAAAACAGTGGACGAGGCATGGAGCATGAACCGAGAAACAGGAGGGGCAACGAAAAGATCCAGCAGGAAATCACAGAACCTGAGAGAAGTTGCATATTTACATTATAAAACATGTTGGGTATATATATTGTAAAAATAATTTTTATTGTGACATAAGGAAAGCAATTTTAAGTTGTATTATTTTTCCAAATAACATTTACATTAAAATACTACGTTTTTTAACTTTAAAATTATTTCTTGCAATTCATTCTTATGTAAACTGATTCATGCGCAGCTGTCTTATTATACGGACGATCAAAAGTTGTAAAGAATTAAGGGACGTTTTTTTAATCCGACGGCGACTTTTTGACACATTGAAGTAGGCATGCAATTCATTACTTATTAGCAAAGTTTAAATCTTCCTTTAACCTCTCTCACTCTCACAGGGACCAATCAGAGGAGAACGAGCACACACAAATCTTCCCCTCAGATGAAGCACAGAGATGAAGGACTTCTGCAAATGTTGGCAGCTAATCCAAAAAGCTAACAGCACATGATGGATCAGATAGATAGTTCAGTCTACTAAAGGAATTTAGCTTCGCTTAATTTCATCCAGACGCGGAGAGTGGGAATATTTTCATTTCTTTTCCCCTGCTCTGCGTCCAACTTATCCTCCCTTCTGTCGACCTCCTGATCCTCCGCTCTCCCTCTAGCCCTATTAGTTATCCGCTGATGGCTCATTAACTATTAAGCAGCAGGAAAAAAGGGGAGGATGGACGAGCCGAGTTTATAAGGTTTCTGTCAAGCCTGCGATAATAAATGGATGCTGGGGATGAAAGCAGAAAAGATATGGTTAGAAGAAAAAGTGGCCAGTTTGTCCTTTGAAGAAACAGATAAGCACAAACAACTGGATAAAATACATTCTAATAAATTATTTTTCATAGAAACACCAGAAGTTAATGAAATCTCTGCACACCAGGCATGTTTAAAAGTTACGTCAAGTGACTCTGAAGCCCTGAAATGACACTCCAGAAGGTTATTTAGGTTGGTAATTGTGTCAAGTGTTGTAAAAGTATGTTGAATAGTGCTGCCATCTACTGGCCATATACAATAATTCCCCTAAGCAACACTTTGTTGAACAAAGCACTAACTTCTTTCTTATCTGTATTTTTGTCCCTTCTTGGCTGCTGATTTTTATCGCTGCTTGCTTCAGGGAAGGACTTCAGACACGGCTGCATAGATTATCAATACAACCTTTAGAAAACCTCTGTCTTAAGCTTTTTGAATATTTTGCACATATTAAACAACTTTATGTTGCTAGCAATGGTCAACAGCAAACATTTTATATATATCCGGTACATATAAAAGGTTAAATTTCAAACATCTATTTATAAAACCCGTCAATTATTCAGTTTCTCTGTAAATTTGAGTCTTGCATAAAACCAGAGGTGTGTAGAAACTGGTTACATTTAATTAGGTTTTTGGGAAAACATTTCTACTTTACCATACTTTTTATTTTTACTTGGGTTATATTATTATTAAGCAGCACTACTGTAACCTTAATAAAATGTTTGGATTGCTCCACAAAGCATCCTACTACGAACGAAATCAACTTTGAATATGTTTGCTTTTTTCTACCTAATGTTTTCCCTCCACACAGTTTTCCATTAAACCGCTTGTAAACATCATTTGAAATTCTGTAATAATAATCTTTTGTGCCTTACCGTCCATGAGATGGGAGTCAATTTCATTTTTTATCATCTGTAAATCAGAATTAGGGGAAGTAAACACTCAGTGTGTGATTTTGACTTTTGAATTTAAGTACCGGAATAACTTGACTTTTTGGTGATGTTTAAATTTACTGAAATACACCTGTAGCCATAGACATAGGTTTCACCTAGTGGTCTCCAAAATAACAATATAAAAGCATTACAATAGGAATGTCATGTTGTTTGTTTTGTCACTTTGACATATTAATCAAAAAATGTCCCAAACTGACCAATGTTGTGTCCATAACTGTCAACATAGCAAAAATAGCAAAAATAAGTGAAAAAGCAATGAAACTCCAAAGATAAATTCCTAAATATCGCCAGAAGGTCTGGAGAATTACTGACGTTTAAACAACTGTAGAGAACGTTTTTTCAACATCAGTAAAATAAGACAGATTTGGATTTAAACTTCAAATGGTCTGATTTGATATCATTTCTGTGTGTTTGTGTCTCTGGAGACTCACTGATGTTGGGGACAGAGGTGGACCTGCAGCAGGTGGAGAACAGCGTTTTCGCCATGGAAACGGTGTTAAAGGCGTGGCTCCAGGAGCAGGGAGGAGAGAGGGAGCACCTCCACCTGCTGCTTCCCAGCCTGGCTGACAACCCGCTTCCAGGTCCGACTCAACGACCAGCACTCAGAACCGCACAAACTCAAATGTAAAACAAGCTCAGTGAAATGTCCTGTCCCACCTGTGCAGTTTGTGTGAAATGTGACATGCTGGAGCGCCTGATAAGCCCCGCCCTCATCCCTTTGACCCCCAGCCTGGGCGTTAAGACAGAGAGCCTTCGTGACTTCCTGCCGGCAGTCAAGGGCCCCGGAAATCAAAGCCCGACTCCTCAGAGGCTGAGAGCGATCAAGTAAGTGAAGGACAGAAAAACAACAATCTCTGAGCCTCAGGTTCTGCAATACAGAGTTCAAATTGGTGCTTGAAATCCGTGACTTAATATTCACACTGCACAGTTTTGTAATGAAGTGCAATCTAATATTTGTTTAAAAACAAATATTAGATTAAATGTTATTTACATTTGAAACCGAAATTTTTCAAACCCCGAATAAAAACAGATATTTTTTAAATCAGGCCAAACTTCTCTCGTTTTGGGCGAGTTATAATTATCAAAATTATTTCTATTTGCTAAATGCCAGAAAACGTAGCAAGACAGTTTTTGTAACTTTCTTTGTATATGGTGTTTTAATATTCAAGTTGAGCATTTTCATCAGCATGATTTTTTGACTTAATAACTCATTGATTTGCATAATTGAAATAAAGGTTGACTTTCTTGTACTAAACAATATTATTGAAATTTCAAAGCATAAAATTTTGCTACAATTTAGTTTACTTTGTCCCTATCTCATTAGTTAATAACAGCAATAAATTGTCTCATGTAATAGTAAATTTAAACTGTATTTTATAGTCCACTCTTCCTAATTTTGTGTCTGGCTTGATGAAACAGAGGAAGAGAAGAAACACGCGAGCCTTTGCCGTCCGTGTGATGAAACCTCGCTCCAGTAAAATCTCTATGAATGCCTTCTTTCTGACTGTATGGAGCAGTGGAATATTTTTTAGATGAAACTCTCTCACCATGTTAGAGGACGCTTTGTTCTGCTCTGATGTTTGAAACGTCTCAGAACGAGTGAAACCGAGTGGAAAAACTCCACAGACGTTTTCTGGACTGGCTTGTTTATGTCCTCAATGTGCTTTACATCCTTTTGTTCACGTTCTCGTACTTCTGGAAGTGGGAGAACACAAGAATGAGTTTACAACCGAGACTGAAAACCATGAGATGTTTTTGTGAAGTTTTGATTTATAGATAATAGATTCTACAGGAAGTAAACACAAAATGAAACACGGGGCCTTGAGAAAGTTATTCTTGTAATTTTTTACATTTTTTCAGTTCTTTTTAGTAAGATCTTATGTGATGGATCAATACAATTGATTTCAGCAACATTTTTTCTTTATTATTCCTTCATTTAACTTTGATTGGCTACAAACTATTGTCTGCTTCTCAATGCAATGAAATCAAGTTGTTGCAATTTTATGTTATTTATGTAAGTAGTGAAAGTTCTGTATGACATGAGCTTATTTATGTATTCCTATTTTACTTTCTTTACTTCATGTAATAACAATTGTGACATACTTGTCGTATAAAGGGCATCATAAGTAAAATATATCATTATTATTGTTATTATTACTTGTAATCATTTTATATTTTTAAGACGTAGTTATGCTCAGATTTAATATAGATTCAAGAATTGGATCTGAAAGCTCAAATGTTTTATATAAACAAGCAGAAAACGTTTACTTCAAAATCTAACTGAACCAATTTGTACTGTATTTGAATTATTAGTTTTGGATTTAAAATCAAATATTTTCCTTTTATTTTCTTTTGTTTCTCATATTTATAAGTATTTACTAAATTGCTGCTTTGCATACGTTTACATCTGAGAACCGAACAACAGATACTTGACTGACGTTCAAGAGATGATGTCACCGACTCCTGTAAACACACACACCCACACACACACACACCCACACACACACACACACACACACACACACACACACACACACACACACACACACACACCCAAACAGCAACACAAACTGATGCACACTTCTAAGTCAAATACACCTTTGTGCCTTCACAACGAAAAGTAGAAACCGAGATGTTTGGAGTGACGCAGGCCTTTTTCCATCAGTTATCCTGATTTGCATGGCGTTTGCATTTTTTGTGGAAGTGCAGTTACGACATGTAACTGCGTCTGTGTTCAGGAAAAAGTGTTTTACATAAATGAGTCACAGCATTAACCTGCAGTTCTCAGAAGAAATGAAAACTTTACGCTGTGAAGGACCTGCAGAACTGTCATTTACAGAGATGACAGTTCACATCAGGAGTATTTTTAGCCACATCCAGTCACCAAACATTAACGAATAAAGGGCATTGATCAGTAAATACAGCCATTAAAGGTTCCATTACTGATTCTGGGGCATGTGAATCAGTAATGCATGTTTTAACTTCATTTCCTATCTAACTTCTAAGAATAAAGGCCACTGGTGCTATAAAAAATCTAAAACAAAAACCTCATATTTCCTTCAATCTTTTATGCTTATAATCCCAACTGAGACTGTGTGTTTTGAAGGGTCCTGCATGCAGACGGAGTGTGTGAGAGTGTGCTGTACGGGCTGCCGCTAGTGATCCGGCCCACCACCTGTTGGCAGCTGGAGTGGGACGAGATGGAGACCAACAACAGCCTTTTTCATGCACTCTGCCAGACACTGCGGGTGTGTAAACAATCTAACACTAATCTCCCACTGATGACAGTGAAATGCATCCTGCTATGCAAAAAAAAAAATTATGTTGTTGTTGCTCTCAACCAGGGGTTGAATTATTTAGTTTGAACATTAATAAAGTATTTTCTAATTTGAATTGCACCTAGAATTTGTGTAAATTTAGGTATGATGCAAATTTGAGCCACCAGGCACTTAAGGAATGAAACAGCGTTCAGTCTAATTGATGCTGCTATTTGTTCAAGCAAGACCTACAAACTTAGCCAAAATGTATGTTTTTAAATAATCTCAGATTTTTAAAATCATTACAATGTTTTAAATACTGCAAATTTGTCTTTTTGGTTATATGAAATTGGTTTACAAATTGAATTTCAACATGTAATTTTGAACAGTGTTTCAAATACAGTTAAATACTAAAACATTTATTTAATGTACTGTGCGAGAAACTTTTGTTCCCTCTCTCACCATAAGGACCTTTTGCTTTTCTATATTTCATCACGTTCATTTGCTGTGGATGCTTTGCACCAGTTATCCATATTTCTCTTTCCCCCACTAAAATTAAAATACGATTCCTAATGCAGTATTTTCTTTGTCCATCTTCAGAATCAAGACTTGTTCCTGCTGCTGAAGGTGGAACCTGATAAGAAATCCCCAGCTGGAGGTTCAGGTGTGTGTCTTAAAGACAAACACACAGTTTATTGCTTCACATCTTCACATCTTATCGTACCTGTTCCAGGTGTATATTCCCACTTCGTCCTCCAGCCGTCTCCATCTCTTTCCCTCCTGCTGAAGCCCGTCGCTTCCAGAGAGCTGCTGCTGCCTTGCTCACTGCCCGTCTCCAATCAGGACCCCTCTCCTAATGCCATGCAGAGCATACAGGTTTAGTAACATCTGTTTCATGGAAGTTGCGCTGGATAAAAAATATATTTGTTGATCTAGTAGATTTGATGATAAAAGCTGACAAAAATGATGCCCTTCTTCTTGTTCGCAACTCCAAAAAAAAAGTTCTATTATTATTGAAATGATTAATTTTTTATGAAATACATAAAAATAGTCAATAAAAATCTGAACTCTTCCTTCACACACACTTCATAGCAACATATTTAAAGACTAAACAGTGTTAATCTGGGTCAGTAAAACTTTCCAGTTTGTCAATACTTTTAATATTTATCTGGTAAGATTTTCGCAGCTTACATGCAAAACTGAATAAAATGTCAATCTTTTCGATCTATATATGTATTTATCCTCTAATTTAGGTAACCTGCAGATCTTATTCATTCTAGTAGGGATAATGAGCTGATGAAGGAAAATATTCTAATTTATCATAATTTTATTATGCTTTTTCCCTTAATAATCATATCATGCATAAATTAATGTACATCATTTTGTGGCTGTTCAGTCACTTTATAAATAATCTTTACTTAATTGCTAATAAATATTCAAAATATATTTATTAGCAAGTAACTTATAGCTTCATAAAACCTGATATTTAGTTTAGACTAAGCCCACAGTTTCTAAAATGGCACATGATATAACATACAAGCACATTTTGTGAGTGTTTTGGACAATATTCACTGTAAAAAAAAAAAGGATTTTGTGCTGGTTCCTCTAAGGTTTTTGTGTTTTCTGTGCGTCCCAGGCTTGCCTCTCTCAGCTGGATGAGGACTTTGTGTTGAACCCTCTCTTACTGAGCAGCAACCTGTACCAGCACCTCCGGAGCAGAGCGCTCCTCTCACAGCCACGATACCCGTACAGGTCGGTCGCCTTATCTGCTCCCACGATAAAATCCACCTTAAACATACACAGAGAGAGAGAAGGAGATGGGGAATGACAACAGGGAGGGGTTTATCATGCATCTCTTTCTCTTTACTTCAGGCTTCAGTCGGCAGCCGCCCATAGAGAGCAGCCGCAGGCGGCAGAAAGCAGCAGAAACGCAGTCGGCCGACAGCAGCGCCAGGTAAAGGCCAACAGCTGCTCCCCATGGAAATAATAGGGAAATGGAAATGTTTTGGCGCCGTGGTTCCAGAGCCATTACACATAAAACTTGGACAGTTTATCTTTAGCCTCTTTTAGGAAACTTCCTCCTCACTTCTTTAGTTCCTGACTGACCCACTAGATGGCAGTGCAGAGTTCATACAGACAAGACAAAATAAAGTCTAAAATAAACAGTAAAACATAAAAGTTTCTTTGTATTCTGGTTTAGGTAGTCAAATACTGCAAACTATTTTTATTCTTCTATTTTGACTTTTGAGCTCGGATGATGTCAGACTTAGCGAGTAACATTTAGCGTAAATGATTTGAATGAAATGCAAATTAATTTCCTAATGTTCTTATTTTTAGTGTTAAGGAAACATGACGCTATTTACAGCCTCCAAATAAAAACAAAATAAACTCCACAGGTTGACCTATTTTTAAATCCACTGAACTAAAACCAGTAGATACAGACTCTAAAAGGGACTTTTGGTTTTGTTTAATGCAACCACTTTGTCAGTGGGAGGGGTTTAATACATTTTCATATTCCCCTCTTCACATTCATTTACTTATTTCATTTTACTTAGTTATTTAGTTATTTTGTATTTTTTATTATTCATTTAATGCATTTTTTATTTATTTTATTATTTGGTTTAGTTAATTTAATGCATTTTTTATTTTACTTATTTATTTATTTTACTCATATAACTTATTTTTTAATCCACTTGCTGATTTTATCAATTTATTTATCAATCTATTAATCAATGCAGTATTTATTTTGTACTTGAGATCCAAAATCAAACACAGTCAATTTTTAAATGTAACTTTTTTTTAGAGATGAATGCAACATGCTAAATAGTAAAACATTGGTATTCAATCTTTTTTTTTTTTGCATTAAAAGTATAAAATGGCCCCAAAGTTAAAACTCTAGAAACTGTTCTGCTGCGATGATGCATGCGCCTAGAATTAGGAGTCAGGCTTGATTCTAAATCTTGAACATTAAAACAGAAAGTCCTGTTGAGTCAAACTAATTCTCTTTGAATCATTCTTTTATTGTATTTCAATATTTCCAGAGTGACTCATAACCGTAAATAAAGCACAGTGACAGAGCAAGCCTGTGGTCGGGGTATTTAAAAAGCAAGATTACTTAAAATAAAATCAGACTTACAACAAAAGCGGTACTTCTCGGATTTAAAAATACAATTTCTTAGAAAAAACTTCCAGTTTACTTATCGCCGTTTTTCTGGTGAACAATTTTAACAGCCAACAAAAGTTGTAATCAGTAATCCTGTATCGCCATGCTTTGACTCCTACTCTGTCTTTCACGCCATTAATTGTTTATTCAAACTAAACCCATTTTCCAAACTGGGTTTAGTTTGGAAAATGGGTCTAATGAACCAAGAGTCTGTCCTGCTTGAGAACTCACACATCAAGCTGCCATTTTATTTGATTTTGTCTACAGAGGCCGACGGCGGCCCTTCAGTGTCATCGCCGCAGGTCGTGTGACTCATCATGGCCGATAAGCTGCTGACATGCAAATAGTTCGCTTCAGTGCAAGACAGTGTTCAGGGCTGTTTTTTATTCGTCTTCGTCCTATTTTTTATTTCTTAAATTAGTTTACAATCCGCTGAACCTTGTTTTTGCTTTATACTCTAAGAGTAAGACATTTACTTAGCAAAAATAAAGATTTAAAGTTTGAGAACTAAAACGTTTCAGTTCCAAAAAAACTACCAATCTAAAACAAATCACTTTTATTCAAAGGAGATAAGCATGAAATACTTTTCTAATGAACCAAGAGTCTGTCTTGACATACATGAATTATTCCCACACACTTTTACATTTTAAACTCTATATTTTTACCCAATTTTTAACCCAAAATTGCATGGATGGATTTTTTGCTAAATATTTTAAGCTCAGTCTGGTGCCAGTAACATCCACTTGTCGATCAAAGGTGTGAAAAGTTTTTCCATTGCAGTTGATACGGGCAAAAAAAAAAATCCACCTCATCCTAGTGCAAAAACGTTGAGTTTTGTGTTTTTTCAAAATGACTCTGCTTCCATTATGCAAATTTATTTTGAAATTGCTCAATTTTATGGTCAATAGGAACGCAGCTAGTGAAAATGAGGAGAAAATGTTCCTTCAAGAACGGCATTCAGACTTTTTCTTACACCTCTTGTTATCACTAACTCTGTCACAATGACAGATTTTGCTGGAAGACAAATTGTCCCAGACATTATTGCAATAAATAGTAATATTGTAGTTTTGACACCATTTTTAAGTGTTATAATGGTAATAATGCAAAAGCACATCCTCAAAGATCAATTAATTTTCAATTCTAATGACTATTTAACTCTGAAACTGGAAGACATTTTAAATATCCAAAATAAACAAACAAAACAAAACAAACAGCAAATAAAATTAATTCTGAAGTTTCTGTAAATAAAATTGTCCTTCAAAATAAAAGAGCCGGTTGAGACCAAAGCACCAGACTGACGACTTTTTGGTAGAAGAATGATAAACCGAGCACAAGGAAATTATTGAGCTTGTTTTTGATCATTACAACAGACTTAGTTCGAACAATCATGATCTATAACTCAGCTTAATTCAGTCCAACAACACTTTACCATTCACAGATACAAATTAGATAAATATGTGTGTAAAATGAATAAAAAATGTGTTTCTTGGTCTTGAGGTTTCCTCTGCATACATGGACACAATGTGTGTGTTGTTTCACTTCAGCCTCCAAACCGCCAGCTTGGACCCAGCAGCAGGGTCAGGGCCACCGTGGCTCCGCTGCCCTCCGCCTCCTCCTGCTCCTCCTTCCTGCTGGGACCCCCTCCGGCGAAGGCCTCCCGCCCCGCGCTGCACTTCCTCGGCAGCGGCCGCCGGGCCCCGGCCCCTCCTCTGCAGGAAGAAGACAGTGATGACTGTTTGATTTTACAGTAAGAACAATGAATGGTGAGTGGAAGAAAGGAGTCAAAGAGAAAGGGAGAGGTGAGCGCTGCGCCGCAGAGGGGTTTCCCTGCATTAGGAGCAAACCTTAGTCAGCACAAATACACCCTCATTTGGCTAATTGGGCTCGTTGTAAAACATATGAGCACCCACATGGCTCCTAAAGTATTTAAAGACATTGTTAAAAAACAAAAAAAATGCTTTAATTTGAAGCTTTAGTGCTCTGGAAATGTATTCATAGTCTTTGAATTAGTCGAAACCACAAATGTTTGGTGTGTTTTATTGGGATTTAAGGTTAAAGAGCAGAACTGTGAAGAGGAAGGAAAATTATATGTGGGCGGCATTATTTTTCTTAAACTGTGACAATCTGAAAAGTGTGGTGTGCATTTAAATTCACCCAACCACCCAAGTAAAACCCTCAACAAGCCACATTATGCTTTAAACCTTCAAATTGTTGTTTTGTGATATAACTCAAGCTTTTTGACTTTGGATGGAAAGCCCCAGTGAACATCAATTGTCAAGTCTGGGCTTTGACTAGGTCATAAACGCGACGCAAACCAAGTCCTGTAACAGGCATTTTGTGACAAGAATCCTGCATTGTTTGTGTTTCTTGGTTTTACGCACTCAAATTGGACTTCAGTTACTAATTAGGTGACATTTAAAGACAGCTGGTTTTATTTGCAGATGCCAGAGTAAAGTTGCCATGTATCTGAATTACACACCACTTCTGAAAACTCACAATACGACAAAAAGTGAAAAGGTTAGAGAGGGTTTTTATACTTGTGTGCCATATTTGTGACTGCTTCAAGCCTACAATAATCAGAACATCTTTAGTAGGAACCGAATCGAACTTGTGAGGAGGTGAGCTGGTGCCACGTGCAGAATGCTGAGGCAGCACACTTAAACTGCAAACCTACAAAGACTGAAAACATGAGACGAAGGGAAGCAGCAGGACAATGAAGGCTTCCTTCAGTAATGAGGAGGAAGAAAGAACAAAAGGTTCCTCATGTAGGCAGATGAAAGCCTCTGCATGTATATAAAAAAATCACTTCCTGCTTTTAATTTAAGACCCCCCAAAAGATGAGAGTGAACACATCAGACACACCATGTATGTACAGTAATGTGTGCATAAAGCCCCATAGACAAAAACACACACAAGTGCGCGTTTCTTTTCATTTTGGCCTTTGAGCCCTGAGTTTGAACACAGCATCTCTGTTATAAAGCAGCAGACAGAAGGGCCTCTCTGCTGGGCCCCTCCTGCAAGCAGAACCAAGTGATAAAAATCTCCAGCGTGAGACTTCTGTGAAACGGCGAACGTGGAAAAGAAAAATTTCCATGGTGTTTTTGGCCTGGTGGTTGATTTAAGTCGATGAAGTGGCTTCGTTTACGTTTGCTCTCATTTAATGGATGATTCACGCTCTTACGCAGATTCCGCTCGGTTGAAGACTCGTCTGTCGTCACTTGTCTTAATTTATTCCTCTTCAGGAAGCTGCATCATCCCCACACACAGACGCTCACACACAGTTAATGAGGATCCCGCCATTCCGCCCCCCTGCTGAACCTTGCAGTACCAACGGGTGACTGGCATGACACCGCAGCTCCTCTGCGTTCACAAACCCAAACCACAGCGAAGCGTTTTGTTCCCAGAGGCCTAATGCTCGGACCTTTGCAACTTTCCGCTGACGTCTCACCCTTGTTGTTTTCTGCGGTGTCTTTTCTCTTTTAATTGCCTTAAAAAGCGGAGAAGTTGAGTCAGCGCGTGCAGATTTCATAAATTGGTTCAGGGAGAACAACAGCAAGCCCCACTGTCCGCGTTGAGGGTCAAAAGGTCGAAGCTGGAGGTCCTTCTGTTTGATCCTAACGCTGTCAGACACACTTCACATTTAAATAACATCAGAGGACAAAAGTGTGCTTGTTTCTGTTTAAACGCTGTGGCAGCCGTTCATGTTGTTCTACTGTTACATGTTGACTCGTTAATGTTGCAGTTCGGCGTTTGATTCGTGTTTCGTTTCTTCCTGTTGTGCGATTTTAAAGGTTCGTCCATGAAGGAAATGAACAGTTCATCTTTTAACTCAGTTCTCTCTGCTGTGTGTCTTCACTGTGTTCTATATTTATAAATTTCTTATCTCTGTAGCATTTGGGTTACTAAATAAAAGCGACATTTGTTGGAAACTTTATCAGGGTAAAATCTCTGTGACATTAAGTGCCTGCAGGAGAAAGGAGAGCATTTGACCTTCTAACCTTTAACCACCCACTGACTTCCTAACTGTGCAACTGCAACATCAAACTCAAGATCCTGATGGCAGTGAACATTACCTCCAAGCACCATACTGCCACCACCATGCACCAGTTCAGCCCGTTAGTGCAGCAGATACTTTCATATTTCAGCAGAATCTTGGATAGAGGATGTTAACGTGGCACAGATGTTTCCAGATGCTTGATTTGTTAATTCATTTATATTTTTTAAATAAGCGTTGGTCATTAACAATTCAAGATGGCGGCCGTTTTTCAAGATGATTGTCAAGGAAGATTTATTTTTGCGCTACAACTGCCAGCAATTACCACAGATGAATACTGTTAGCGTCAAATCTTACATAATTGGACCCACAAAAATGTTATACTTACTGATAACCTTTCAATTTTCAAGATGGCCACCATGGCTGTCATGGAGAATTAATTTTTGCAACAAAATTGCCAATTAGATGAACACTAAGCTGCTTAATATATTTTTTTTAAAATCAGCATAAGATAACACTAAACCACTAAACACATTGTGAAATTGGCAGAAGCTATTGCTAAATCGCTAATTTCACAAAAGATTGGCTGAAGATAATGCTAAATGGATAACACATGAATGCTACTTGCATGCAACCTACATTTTTAACGGCTGTTTGTCTCCTAAAATAATCAAGAGGCTCAATATTGTTTGCTAAAAATTAGTTTCAGTCAAAAAATGCAGCAGGAGAAGCTGAATCTTCTCCTCATCTCCATATATGAAGATGAGGAGCTATTATCTGCTCTAGTTTTGTACATCTCTGAATCTCTTGCTTCCCTGAGAATCTTTTTAAATCATTCCCAAAACTCTTTACTAACAAAAACATCATTTTTCTTCGACCAGTTTCCACTGTGATCAACAAAAAATAACTTTCTGCAATCAGACCGTCTAAAAGAATGAGTCTTTTAACTCATCTATATCTGTTCTGGGATAATATTAGTTCTGCGACTTCCTCCTTTATTCTTAATGTTCCATTTCCTTTTTTGCAACAATCTGCAGCAGAGGCAGAATTATGTTTTAGCTTTTCTTTGTCTCTGTCGCTTTCCTGTAATTGTCCACACATCTAGGCCACAGGAATCAGACAAGCATACAAGAGTCACAATTCAGACTCAGGGAACAAGAAAAAATAATAATCATGTCTCTTACCAGCAAAGCTGAGCAAGAACTGGAAGAGGAAGTTCATCTCTGGGAGGGAGGAAGTGAGGAGGTGAAGTCAGGACCTTGCAGGGACCAAACAAGAATTGTCTGAAAGAAATGGGAAACATTTTTCAAGTCTGAATTGTCTAGAAAATCCTGATTCTTTTTCTTTTCTTTTTTTGCTTAATTAATAATAATAATTTGCAATGCAAAAACACAAATTCTTACCAAGTATTTTCTTGTTTTAGTTTATTGTGCAAACATCTCACCACACTGAAAATAAGATAAAACCGACTTACCGGTGACATTTAGGCAAAATATAATTCTTGAATAATGATAAAAATAACTTCTCCCACTGACGATTTTGGTTAACTTTTGACAAGATATGTTTCCTATGTTATAAGTGAAAGAATCTGCCAAGAGAACTGGTACTTTTTCATAAATATCAAGGAAATATTTACTGAAGCTTGCTAAAGGTTACTTGTAAGCTAGTTTTATCTTAATTTGAATGCATTAAGATATTTTCATTAGAAAATAGACGTTTGCAGATAAAATCATTTTACTGGAAACAATCCTCTTCCTCATGACGACTCACATTTGTGCTTGAAACCTTGTAATTTGCACACACACACCGAACACACACGTGCCTTTATTTTTAGGTCAACAGAGCGATGACATGCAAGAAGAGCTGTCATTTCCTTCAGGTAGTTCTGAGAAAGACCTAAGGAGAAATGAGTACGATTCTCTTTCAGACTCATGACTGTACGGGGGCTAGCCCACGCTAACAGCTAAAAATAAACCGGGGTGGTCTTCATGCTCAGAGGGGAGGAAGCCGTACAGTTTCGGGTGTTTCTGAACGGAGAACGCACAGATCCCTATCAGATGTTCAAAAGTGAAAGGGGTTCTTGCTTTGCCTTACCGCAGAGGAGGAAATACATCCTAGCTTCAGCTAAATGTTGCTTTATGTTCAGAAGCGCAGCTGACAGCTGTCGAAGTTCCTCAACATTAGAAGGAAGTTCTTTCTCAGATCACATCAGACTGAAGCTTTGGGTCTGAAAAACCTGCGTATAGAGGAAGAGTTTACTTGAGGCTGGAAAGCAAACATCTTTAAACGTAAATCATTTTGACTTTCCTCCTTCCCTCTGGTTGAATGTCTGCAGCCTCGCAGCATAATTCTGTCTGGATCTTTGCAGAATTATTTAAATAGTTGGATTTTCTAGTATGGATGGACGTTTGGTTTTTAGTGAGCAATGTTACACAAAACGTTGTCTTCCTCACAGGGAAGCACACACACACACACACACACACACAAACCAAGCACTGATCCAGAAATACTTTAATCTAGAAGAGAAACAAAGCCAAACAGATATTAATAAAAAAGTACTTGTACCACTAACAGATTATTTTGCTTATAAAATGCTAAAAATGTCTTATTAAAAGTCAAATCTGCCAGTGGAACCAGTACTTTCATCAGTATTAAATTATTTTCTTAAACAAACTCAAATGTCTTGCTGTAAATCTACTTTTAAGTTATTTTTGTCTTACTTCAAGTGTACTAGAACCTCAAAAATACTTAAGATTTTGTTTTTGCAGAGTAAGCTTTACATTCCATAAGCAAACTCCACTTTTAATTTGTTCGGTTTAGAGTTGCATGTAACATTGATTTTAGATGTGCGCTTACATGAGTGTCTTTTAAAATAAACGTCTCCACCGCATCTTACTACTGTTGATGTGAGGAGCGGCCATTTTGAAACACAATGTCCGCCTGGCTCTCCGTTTCCCACTGGAAAACCCGACTTCTGGGAGCGCTCCAGTTGATTTTTCCAACTGAGAAGTCAGAATTTCCCAGTTCCAAGTACAACTGGAACGCAGCGTAAAACTGGGACAGCTGGTCCGAAAGCCTCGAATTCACAAACTTAAACAAACTTCTTGTCAGTTTGGTGGAATCGCTCAACCTTTGTACATGGATGCAGTTTCTCAGAGGCGTCTGTTTTGGAGCGGCGGCTGTTTTTCTTGGTCACCGATGATGTTAAACGTCCACCATATTTCAAGGTCACGAAATGAGACATAAACAACCCACATTCTGCTGGCATTTATTTCGTTTTTCTTCATCAATGTGACTCCACTGCTCCTTGTGAGCTGCAGCATCTCAGCCATAAAAAACAAACATCTACTGCAGAACGTCAAGAGCTGAACGTCCTCCAACACCGCACTCAAAGGACAACGCAAAGACGTTCTTATTCAGTAGATTGTTCAGCTCTGATTGTAACCAATTTTCAGCGGTTTACACAGTTTGAAACTGGTTTTGGAATGGATGAAGGATCAATATTTAGAAATAAACCAATTTGAGTGAACGTTACCAGTTCTCCTGAGAAGCTAATCTTGTTGGGGTGTAGTGGAAACCTGAGCGGATGAGGCAAAATCCACAAAAAGTTCAAACTTGTTCACGAATCACAACACTTTTTAAATGTTGAAGCAGAATTAAGGATATGTTCCACACTAGACTGGATGAATTTTACTGTTTTACTGAATTAAATTTTGGTAAAGCCTTTTTTTTTATATTTTATCAACATTTGAAATTGTCTTATTTTTCTGTCATAAAACTTTTCAATAAACCTGATTTTTGTATTCTTGAGTCTTGAGCCACAAACACCAGGAGTCACTGAAATAAAAACCAATCACACCTACACTAGTTCAGAGTGCAGAGCTTCGTGCTTTATGGCGGGTTAACAGGGCAGAGGTCGCTTTTCACTGAATGACTCACGACTGGCCGACATGATCCAAAAGGCACCTGACTCTCAGTTCACCAGGAAATCCTCTGAATAAAACAGAGATCAAACTGTTTCGCTTCGCTTCCGGACAGGTTCTGCAGCAGAGACAGGAAGGAAGAGCGCGCCGTGGAAAACGGCGATGGCAGCAGTCATCTTTGAAGCTGCGTAGCAACATGCTTCATTTGCAGGTTTTATTCACAGTTTTTTTTGCTCTTCTTCCCACTTTAGCTGCCCTTATTTTTTTACAATTTAACCTGAGTTATGCTTTGGTTTATTTCTCTTAGCAAGTTACAGGTTAATAAAATAGTAAGAATTGAAATAAGTTTTTTATAAAATCTTCCTGCCCAGACTAAGGTCACTCATGATGTTTCTCTTCTCTCAACCTCTGTCTCTCAGATGCCATGAAGGGAGTTTATTCATTATATTTCTCCCCTCTGGCTGCTTGTCCTTTCACCAAAGTCCACCTATGATTGGCTGACTCATTTCCCTCAGCTGCATTGTGGTCAAAGACACACTGCAAAAACGATCTAGTTTCTAGTGCAAATGTCTTAGTTCGATTCAAATGAGGCAAAACCAACTTACAAGTAACTTTTCATCAAAATATGAGACTGTTTTAAGTCAGTAACTCCTTAAAAAGTACTTGTTCCACTTGAACGTTATTTCTCTTATGACATGAAAAACGTCACAATCTTTCAGTAGTGACTTTTGATCAGCATAGCTGATCCAGAGACGAGTTCAGATCAGTTTTGAGGATTTCACTCTGACAAGTCAAACTAAGAGCTTAAACATAAAAGTATCGGCATTTCTGCTCCCATTTAGGTTTTTACAGCGCTGGTGTTTCAGATCAGTTTTTCCAGCTCTCAACCACAAAACAAAGAAATTTAAAAAAATAATAAAGTCTTTAGCCAGCAATTTAGTCAACACAGAACTGCAGCTTTAGGATATTGTAAATATTCTTCAATAGCACTGACACTCATAACAGTATGACTGTTATGCTAACAGCAGATTCACAACCTTTGGGTGTGAATTAAGAGATGCACAAAGCAAATGAGTTATTTCTAGCCAAATTATAAGTGCTGCATCATCAAATTTGTGGCTGAACATTAATTTCTGGAGCAACGCTTGTGCATCACTCAGAAAGTGGCTGTCACTCAAGAGGCGTTTCAGTGCCTCTTGCCGTTGCACCGACTCGTCTCTTTCTGTAAATCTGACGTGGCCTTTAAAAGCTGCAAAGTGAGACACGGAGTCTGAAATATTAAAGGTTAGAGGCTGTTTGTGTGGATGTTGACACGGCCGTTAGAACAGCTTCGCCCACACATTATGATCTTGTCTTTTACTGCAGAGGCAGTCCACACTTTAAAAAAAAAAAAAACAATTATCAAGAGGATCCTCATAATATGCTTCCTCTCTAAGAACAGCATGAACCTGCTGAAGTTGATCTGAAACTGTTTGGCGGGGTTTTTTTGTTTGTTTTTTTAATCTAAGCTTGCATTAGATGATCACATCAATAACAAGAATTGACAAAAAAAAACTATTGCACAACTGCTCAACATATTTTCACATGTACAGTTCAACACAAAAGCCTTATTTTCACACCTAGATGTGCCTAAACTCAGCTCATGTGCGAAGTCAGCCAAACTGCTTGGCGCAAGTTTGAAAGGTCAGAGGAGTTAAGAAGAAGTTTGTGCAAAAGGCAGAGGAGGTGATCGTTGCAAAGGCGATGTGAGCTTTAGACGGCGAGGCCCTCGTCAGTCGGCGTGAGACAAAATGAAACCAGGGACTGAGAAGTGGTGGAGATCTCAGAAATAAATAAGCCAATAAATGAGTTTTTGATGTCAGATTTATAGCAAAAGTACTCTGTATATTCCTGCCATTCTATAGCACAATCAAGTAGAGCTGGGCAATAAATCAATAACAATTTGTACCGCAATAAACACGTGATCAATATCTATAGATAACACATATGGTAGAATATTTAGTATTCAGTATGTAAAATACTCAATGAACCCTGGTGCAGAACCACACGGCATTCTGGGAGATTAGGCAGAGGAAAGGCTTTAGTTGCTCCCATACTTAAGACAGTGCTTCTCAAATCCAGGGCTCCCTGCTCTGCATGTTTTAGATGAGCCTCTATTCCAGAACAGCTGATTCTAATGACTGGATGACCATCGAGCCTGTTAATCCCCAGATGTTCAGTCCAGGTGTGGCAGAGGGGCAACACCCAAAGCATGCTGGGTAGGCGGGCGCGCAGACCGGAGCTGTCTTAAAGCAAACTGAGAAAGTGATGGAGTCAACTAACTCACTCATTCTTTGGTTACTTGGCAACAACCTGCTGAGTGGCGCAGCAGCAGTTCAAAGTTTTGCCCCATCGCCTTATGAATGCTTAAAGATAATCAAAAGAGTTAAAACTGTGACTAAAACAGGAAAAAGTGATTTGGCTGGATTTCAGATATTCAAATCAAAAAACTAATCAATAATTATCGATATCAACCTAAATGAAACGCTTTGAGCCATATCGTCCAACCCTACAGCCATGTAACAATTGTGTGTTACCTTCAGTTGTTATGAAAATGCTGCATCCAACAAACATGACTTACAAGAAGTCTGACTTTGCAATTCAACGCCTTGAAATCAGGTCTCTGTCTCTTTAAGAAGCTCATTTTGTTCCCCCATGCTTGTGGTTACGTAACTCCTTCAACTGATCAATAAGTGGCAAGAAATGATGTAGTTTTATTGAATACATACATCGACTGAAACCATTTTCTGAACATTTGTGTTCATTTTTCTTTTAAATGGCCGAAGCAGCTGGTTCAGTTTGCTCCTCGTTATTTAACAAGTCTGGACAAGAACAGAAAACTTTCCAGGGCATATTTCTTAATCTGTTGCCTAAAAGTCAGAATTTATAAAATAAATAAATAATTTAAAAAAAAAAAAATTTGTTTATATTTAAATTATACATGTTGTCTTTGTTAAACCTCTTAGAACATTTGGTGGCACAGTCCAGAAATGTGTCAAAAATTAGATTTGTCCTGTTTTTTTAGTCTCCGCTCCTCAGGGCTTTAAGCTCTGGATCCATTTTGTTTATTTATTTTTACAACTAAATCAAAGCTACCACATCCCACAAACTGGGCTTTAAATAATCTGCGTTTAGTGTCAAACAATCCAGTCCAGATTTGACAAGACCAAGTGTTACTGCTTTTAAAAATGAGCCGAACTGTAAATATTTGAGAGAAATTATTTGTGCTCAAGTGTGCAGAACTTTACAAAAACCGCAAGGAAAACTAAAGGGGAAAAATCTGAACATGGAACTTTATACAAGTTTTCATTCTCCTTTCATTTTTCCACACACGCTCACATCTCAACCTCAAGCTACCGGGATTTTATTTGGCAGACAAACTATTGCAAAACTGCGACGCAAATGGAAAAGCATGCCCTGTTTTCAATCTTTTTGATCAAAGGAAATTCTGAAAAGTGTGGCCTTATGCACACTTTTGAGACTTTAATGCCCCTGAAAGCGTAGCCCAGCCAATTGCATTCAGCAGTTAAAATAGAAAAAGTCAACTTGTGTGTAATTTAAGGACAACATTATCCAGCCTCTTGAAGCAGCTATGAGGCACATGCTGCAGAGATCCACAGCTCAGGAGACACGGTGGTGGCAGCATCATGCTGTAGGAATGGTTCTTATAGAGGAACTGGTCAAAATGGATGAGAAAGTAGAGTTTAATACAGTTTAATCCTTGCATAAAACCAATTTTAAAAGTTCTATTTGTAAAAAATGAATGTGAACTTTGCTCCATCTTCCTTTCATCTCAGTCATGAACGCCGTCGCTTGTTGGATCCTCTCGGTATGAATGTTTTTTTAAGCCACTGTGCATCTACAATGAACATTTGAGCTACCTGCCGAGTATAAAGCAGTAAAACGGCAACAACAATAAAACAGTAAATCTAGTTGGCAGACAACTGAATTGAGGTAGAGCTGCAATCAAAACTGAAGTTGGAATCTTATTATTGGCACTTTATGGTGGATTTTAAGACCCTAATTTGCACCAAAAAAAAAAATTCTCCATATTGAAACACACAAGACCTGTAAACGTGTAAACAGCTTGTTAGTCGCTCCAAGAGGAAGTGTTGACGCAGATAAAAGAAAAACTGCACACAGACCCTCTAACCCAACGCTCCTTTTTCCTCCCTTGTGTTCAAAGATAGTTTAATGAGAAAAACAGAAGCTCTTTTTGCTTTCTGCTTTTCTTCCCTCTCTCTGTCTGAGAGAAGCAGAGATGTAACCAGTTACTTTTCCTGGAGCTGGAAGGACTCTAGCAGCAGGTGAGGGAAAGAAAAAGGGCAGAGAGGAAGAAAAAGAGAGAGAAGTGGAACAGCCTGTACCTGTTTGTGAGCCAAGACGACACAAACAGGTTCATCCATCCAGACGGCGTTCGTCACGTTCAATCAGGGATCTGAAACTTTGTTTTCCTTCATATTCGTCTTCTTAACGGTATCACCCTGCAGTTAAGATGCACAGCAGGTCCGACACAAACCAGCCACCATTATCTGTCGCCTCAGCAACCAAACAACACAATTAGAGGCAGCGAAGGAAGGAAGAAAAGTAAGAAAGAACGTCTTTGTTTGGCTCTTTTTTTCTTCTTTTTTTCTCTCTCTCTCTTTGGAAGCTACGCTTTTACGGCGTGATTAAGTGGTTGGAAACAGACTGAAACAACAAAAACAGAGCAGAGGAAGAGAAATGAAGGATGAGGTCAGACTGTTTTTACTGTCCCGGTCGCTCCAGCACAGAAAAGTCCTTTTTAACACGAATAACAGATTCTGATTGGACCAGAACACCGAGGGGAAGAAATTATGACCAGTTTAATGACTCGGTTTAGTGAAAAAAAACAAACTTTGAGACACTTTAATTATCAGATACATTTCCAGACAGCACAGCTGTTTGTGACAAGTAAAAGCACAGACCGGCACATTACTGGGGATTGATCAGTTTCATATTCAGTTAATCTGTCGACACACGTTCAGGATTCTTGTGCAGAAAGTTGCTCTTGGGTCCATGCATGTTTTGGTAATTGGATTATCTCACCATTAAAAAAAAAACAAGTGGATATTTTATATTTTTACTAAATAAAAAAAAATATTAGATTAACATTTGAGGTCTAAAAGCAAGCAAACATTTTATTGTTTAGATTTTTACTGTATAAAAATATATAATGTTTTTCTCATGTTTTAAAATAGTAAAAATTGATATACATATATTTCAAGACAGTGCATTTTCTGTTCTGCATATTTTATTTTATTTCATCTAATAAACATTTATATGGACACAAAAATATAAAATCTGGACAACAATAAAAAGTATTTTTAAACACTTTTTCAGCATTCTTACTGCTTCATGAACTTGTTGGGAAAACAAATAAATAAAAACAAACCTCTTCTCTATTTGGCGAGTGATGTCACTGAGTGATGCACACGTGTCAGAAAATTTTTTTAAAAACAGGCCAATTTATTGTTTCTTTTTACCCGTAATTTTAAGAATTGTTTAATATTGATAATATATTAAAAACGTCACATTTTTCCTACATTTTTGACTCAGAAACCCGTCCATTTGTAGATTTATTTTCTTAATATATGAAAAAAAAAATGCAACTGTGAAGCTGAAATACTCAGACTCAATGCTACTTGACAGGCTATTGGCTGGCGTTCAAAAGCAGCCAATAAAAAGGCTTCATTCACTTTTCTTCACGCCGATTGGTTGTTGCTCAAAGAGCGGAAATAAGGAAGACAGTAGATGTTAGCTTCTGCGGTAGTAATAAGATGGTTTCCACTTGAAGCATAATAAGGCATATTTGGTGTTCGAACTAAATTAAGTATTTTTAGAGGGAATCTAAATATTCATAGATTCTAACTGGTGGTCCTTAAATCTTAAATGTCTTTAAATGTCTTTACACGTGCAACATTAATGTAAGGTAAATTATACTTCTCGATGTGGAGGGGATTCATTTTTTTGCTGTTTATTTTTGTTTTTCACTACTAGTAATATGAAAACACACATTTAAAATTCAGAAATTTCCCTGATGATTTTCCAAAATGAAACAAATGCAGATAAACAAGAGTGTATAAAATAAACACATTCTTCTACATTTAGACAAAGGACAGTCAAAAGGAAGAATAAATAAATGTACTGCATGTGAGATTGATGTTGAAAACACTCAGAAATACCATATATGGGCAGTGATGTCAAAATTTCATAAGAAAGCGAGGCAGCGGTCGACTCTTCTCAATGATTTTAAGTTTTTATTATTTTAAATATGGTTCAAAATGCTTGCAATTCTATGTAATATTTTATATCATGACCCAAATTGTTTTTTTTTTATTTTATTTTTCATTGCTGGGTTCGGATTCAAATCCAAGCAACAAAACATGCAGAGAGATCCTGACCCATTTGGTGTTTTGAAAACCCGAAGCCGTCCTGTTTTTACTCCCCCGTTTCATTGGGGGAGAAAGAATAATAAAGAGCTTTTCTTTTGTTGAAGTCAAAGATCGACTCCTGACCATCAAATTCTGTTTCACATTAAACACAGAAGAGATGCAGTGCAAAAATAGGTCTGTCTTTTTCATAAGCACAGCAGGAGTTTGTAGGAAAAGAGGAACCAGGCCGCTTTCCTTCTCTCAGCTTGTTAAAGTGAAGACAAATCCATTTGTGTGGTGTGTGTGTGTGTGTGTGTGTGTGTGTGTGTGTGTGTGTGTGTGTGTGTGTGTGTGTGTGTGTGTGTGTGTTCCAGTGAAGTGGCTGTCTCCGGCCGCACTGTGGCTTGGTATGCCAATTATGGCTTTGCCCGTGCAAACACTCTCCCTCTCTATGACACGCACACAGGGTGGCCCAGCGATCACTGCAGCCACATTTCAAATTGCGCCCGTAATGTGGTTTTCTCATCGTTGTGTGCCGATCTCCTCCGAAGCAGCTGACCGTCTCAGATAATTGTTGCAGTCCGCACGGATGGAACAAATGTGAAACGAGAAAATCCCGAGGCCCAGCGTTCCACTCCGAAGCTTCTCTCCGTTTTTCAGCGAGAGAGTAAAGGTTTGTTTTACAGGAGCGGTCAAATGTCTCCCAAGTTGTCATAAATTATATCAGGTGCCCTGAGCGGGGCCTGGTGGTTCTTATTACACCACACAACGGATGGAGGAGGCTTCTGTTTTGACACGCTGCTGTACAGCTCCTTCCCGCTTCCTCCGGAGCTCCACATGTTGTTGTTGTTGTTTACGTTGCTACCGGAAACGCCATGTTTCCCAGCGGGAAGAGGCACCGGCTCCTTCCGAGCGAAAGCGCTCTTGTTGGGCTTTGGAGCGGTGGCGGGTTTGGGAAACTTTGGTGTCGGAGGCTGCGGCGTTCCGCGATGTAGGCCCGGCAGCTTTGGAGAGTGTTTCTGCAGCTCCGTCGGCTTCCCCTGGGAGGCGATGCTGTAAGTGGCGTCCAGTCCTGACGGAGGCCCGACCTCTTCCTGTCGCCTCTGAGGCTCCAACCGGGCCTCGTCATAAACGGTTATCCCGAGGCTTACGGGAAGGCTGCTGCTTCCTTTGGCGCAGCCTTCTGGCTCGTCATATATGTGGTCCACAGAGTGCACAGGAGGGGGTGAAGCCCCGTCCCCATGACCTCCTGGGGGTCTTTTGCTGCTAGTCGCCACCTTCCCGGCGCCTCTTCCTCCTCCAGCCGACCCGTTCAGACTCAGTGCGCCCGTCTTCTGGCTCAGGTCCACACCGATCTGGTCATACAAATGCGAATACAGGTCAGGAACTTTCTTTTGGTTGCTCCCCGTGTGGTGATGATCCCCTCCGCAGGAGTCGTCACCCACAGGCCGAAGGCGTGGCGTTGGCACCGGAGGCGAGGTTTGGTTCTGACCCTTGATGGTGTCCACTGGGTCTGAGTAAAGGCCGTCACAACTGGGAACAATCAGTCGCACTGAGTCTGCTGGCTCAGAGTAAAGACTTGTCTGTTCATCCAGGGGGGCTACAGCTTTCCCTGCCAGTCCTCTAGGAGCTGGGGGTTCTGGTAAGCTCCTCCCTTTGTGTCCTCCTTGCCCTCTTCCGACTCCGTCTCCGCCCTCCCTTTTCCCAAGCACTCCATCAGCCGAGCCCGGCTTGCTGCCGCCGGAATCGCCGTCCGCTTCCCGACTGCTGCAGCTACTGTTGTCCCCGCTTCCCGGCGCCATGCCGCTCCGAATGTACTGGAGGGACAAAGGGCAGTCGGAGTCTAAGCTTTGGGGTCCGCTGAGGTGGCGTTCCCCGGCCTGGGCCTTCTGAGACTGGATGGCCAAGTCAACCAGTGTGAAGATCTCATTGCCTTGTTTTGTCTCAAAGGTAAAGTTGCCAGGGCCGGAGTCGCAGCGGCGTCCTGCTTCAAAAGAAAACATCACCTGGGGAAAGAAAATACAAAATGAAGTCTGGTTTATCATGCTTCCTTGAATACATGAGTGATACAAAATATATTAACTACATTTTTTTGCACAAAATCATTCTTAGATAACAAGATTTTACATTTTGAGCTTCTTTCAAAATGAGCTGTTTTAGGGCATTTTGTCACTTTGAATCCAAACAAGCTGCTGCTGACCACAACCCCTAACTCAATGTTTACACTTGCATGTGAAAATGGCTGCAAAGCAGACGCGTCAATCATATATCTGATTGCAGCAAAACAGCTTTGAAAAGCAGAAGTGGAGCCTCCTGCACAAACAACAATATTAGAGCAAGTGACTTCTGGATGGTAAGTCAACAACGAAGCAGTTCTCTTTTCCAGCAGCCACTGTACAGTAAATACAGCAGTAAAACCAGCTTATCGAGTGTGCTGGAGCTCCTCTGGGGCGCATCGAGCAGGCCTACTTCGAAGACCAAAAGCTCAGGAAGGACTAAACAAACACCGCTCTCTGCCAACTTGTCTTGTACATTCTGGGACTCCTTCTCTCATTCCCTGTGCAGTAGCAACTGCCACACCAGCGTCTGTGCTTAGGTCCACGCTTGTACATTTGGTAACGCCACGGTGTTGATTGTGACTTAACAATTGGGGAAGTTTTTGAAACGGCTAATGTTTCACACACCACTTGTTGCTGTGTAGAGGCTCAACTTTAAATCCACAGAGTAGCAGGTGTTTAAAAATGAAGTCAAGAACAGACGTGGCAAGCTCTTAAAAAGAAAACAATGTGTCTGACGTTTCTTAAGGCTGCAGAAAGCGAGAGAAAGCAAAACTTTCATCAGATAACAAGAGGCTTAATGGTGTTGATGTTTGATCCTTTGAAGAAACTTAGACACATGTGATTGTGACTGAGTTTCTTATTAAATGGAATTGTGAAATCATGTCTTCTGACATTAGTGGAATACTGACAAAGTTTTGCCACATCTGCAATGGAAACAATGGTTTGATGGAGACATGAGGATCACTACTCTTAAATATACACATGGGCAGTGCTGTTTTAATGAACATAATCATGCTAAGCATTAAGATGCTGATGTCTCAAGCACATGGTGTAGCATCAGGTCTGCTACTGATATAAATAATTACTGTAAAACTTTCCCAACAACAAATTGGCTAAAATTGGTATCGGCAGGTTAAACCTGTTCAAAGTTCTAATCATTCATGTCATATTTGTTATAAACAGACAACAAAAAAAAACTTTCTGCAGACAAACCAAACCACCGGCTTTAAAGGTCATCTGCCAGTTTTAGATCACATACTCTATCTTGAAAACACGATGTGACAGAAATTACCACAAATGGGGGTGCTAAATATAATCTGACCACATCTGTGCCATTTATGCTTCCTTTATCACTGCTGCAGCCAACACGCTTCCTCTGAGTTTTTGGTTTGTTTTGTTCAGTTTGCGTGTTCAGGCACTCACCCGGTCCCTGCCGTATCTTCTCAGGAGCTTGTAGGGCCACACCAGGACGTTCCTTTTTGTCTTGGGCTCCTTTAAAATCAGCGCTTCGTTTTCTGCTTTCAGCCAGTAGCTTCCTGCGAGCCTGCAACGTTCAGACGCCTCGGTGCGCTGAACTGTCACCCAGAACTCATTCACTGTCAAGCGATAACGTCCATTAGGGATCGTGCTGGAGTTTCCAACCAAAAGTCGTAAGACTAAACTGATCAACGTCCTTACCCTCCTCCCTGGAATAATAGATGAGGTTCTCAGCCATCTGCAGGTCCTGAGGTCTTCCATTACAGTCCGTCAGGCTGCTGCCGGTCCCCCCCTGTACTCAACCAGAGGGAAAACATCATGTTAGTAATCTTATTACTCCACTTGTTTACTCCACGGTGTGCCAAGGATAGCCACTTAGACAATAAGGGTTCCTTCACACCAGCCCTGCAGAGGCCACTGTAATCGTTTCCCGAGAAAGTTTGGTTCATTTGTGGAGGTGTGAACTCTAATCCGAACCAGAAAAGCAAACTCTGGTCCACCTCAAAGGCTAGATCTTGGCTTAGTTGAAGTGAACTCTGGTGCGGTTCGTATGCTCTAAAAACAGGAAGCAGATTCCAGTGCAGGGTATTCTGAGTCAATACAACGAAAACAAAACTTTACAAGTCTAGCGCAGGTGGGAGAAATGACTTGTGGTCTTTTACCAAAGACCAAAGAGAAATCCTACAACCGCTAAAATCTGACAACACTCCATTTTTGTTTACATTTTGTGAAGAAGGAAGTTGAGCTCACGTCTTCTTCAAAGGTTTTTGTATCGGTTTCTTCAGTGGTTCTTGGTGCAGCGCCAAGAAGAGAGGGTTTTCCAAAGAGTTTGGACCGTTTCACAGAAAGTGAACCATGCCAGTTGAAAATTTAATACTGGTCCCAATCAAACCAAATCTACTGGACTGGCAAACACTGTAAGTCTGGGCAACACAACCAATAATAATTTTCAGTTATTCCTATTAAGTTAATTGGTCACAGTAAGACTCAGAATCTAGAGAACAAGAGACATCAAACAGAGCAGACGCATGTAAAGGAAGTCCTAAAAAACATTTCCACCCACGTCTTAGTCACTCATTACACACTCCTATTCCCTTTAGCAACCAAATGAGTGAACTGGTCATCCTGTTTTCAGCAAAAGGTGAGAGCAAAATGGTAAAAATACCTGAAAAGCAATGTCACACATGGTGTCCATCCAGTCCTTCGCAGTGTTCTTCTCTGCTGCGAACACATGCGTCTTGTCATTTGTTTCCACGCAGAAAGCCGCCATGTTGTCTTTGGGGCAGCTCTCGGTCAGGGCAGGCAGAATGGAGATGCACTCCGACAGACGGATGATCTTCTTGTCCAGCTTCCTGGTTTTCTCGTTGGAGCCGCTTACCGAGCTCCCGCCGGACCCTCCTCCACCTGAGGGGCAGTCGAAGAACTCGAGGCGAGCGATGCCGTTTTGGCTGGCCGGGTAGAGGACGAACCAGTTTTTCTTCCATTTCTGATGGATGGAAAACAAATGAGGACTCAATGAAGAAAGTATTGAAACAACACGTCAAAAGAGAAGGAGGCAATGTTGGACTTCAGTCATGTCTAAAATGTGCCGGTGATGTTGTGTATGGAAGGGTTTAACGCCAAGAAATATCTGCCATCAGGAAGTCACTTAGATAGTTTTGTTTGATCAGAGGTCACTTTGTTTTTTTGTTTTTTTATTATGTGGCATTAACAGTCACCAAACCCAAATAAGGTGCAAATCATATTTCAATTTGAAGTCAACAAAAAACTGTATTTGTGAGAATTAGCAAACCACAGCCACCTGTGAAAAACTGAAACCCTCTTCCAAAAACACATACAAATACTTTTTTTCAAATTGTTCAAACACCAAAAATACCTTAATATGCATTTATGCAGTGGAAGCAGACTTAGTGCTAGCACAGAAGCTAACTTCTGTGGTCTTTCTTTCCTCCGCTCTTGGGATGTGATAAAACTGCCAAAAGTGTCACATTACACATGAAAATCCCCTCGTGCCGTCCCAGTCGAGACGAATGCATCATATGCAAAGGTAAAATTTGTTTTTCTGTCTATGACAAAATATCTCAGACACAAAAAAGGAAAAGAGGAAGTACGAGTTAAGACTGTAAGGCCAAAAAAGCATAAACATTTTTCTCTAGATTGCTTAAGACTGCAGTTTGTCTTTGCTCTTCCATCACAAAATGCAACTGTTGACTTGGCTCTGTCACTGTCCCCGACCCAGTAAACGAAGGAGAGGAACCAGCTTTTTGTTGAGTCATTACAGATATTCTGTTTGTGCAATTTAATCTCACTTCTTGCAAAGAGTTTAATGTTTATTTGGCAGTTTTGGAGCAAAATATGGTTGAAGAACAGGGAGAATATTATTTTGTATTTTCATTTAATTATTTGTCCAATATGACTCGAAAGGTCAGAAATTATTATGTTAAAGGTTAATTTGCTAATACAGCAGAGGTACTTATTTTAATGCTGTTTAATTACAGAGATTATTGTTTGTATAACACTTAACTGGGAAAACTTTTTGAAGTACCATTGCTCTTACATACTATTCAAAACGCAAGATCTCATATCCACTAATTAGTAATCTCTGTGGCAAAAACAGTAAAACATGCACTTTTTCTCTATAAATGCTGATCCAACATACCACTTCATTTTTTGCTTCATCTGTAAAACCAATGGACAACCAGTGCTTTTGTGCAAGCTGGGTTTCTTTAAACCAAAACTGAAACTTACAGATCACATTGTAAATACTCAAAGGATATGAACAGAGGTAGGTGGTAAAGAGTCAGAAATTATCTTCACCCAGAGATAACAGGTCTACGACATAATATAGGGTTAGACCACAAACAATAGGGGGCAAAAACTTCAGTTTATTCTGAATATATCAGTCTGAGTGATAAGCGGATCTTTCGTTTGCTGCCTGAGGCTTGATGTAGGAGGCGTGTGGTGATACGTTTGATGTAACTCGGCATTTCGTTTTGCACGTTAACAGTCGTTCGAATCAGCAGGCAGAGACCTCATCAATTCACCACCTAAAAATCAAAACTGGCTTTAATCTGGAAGTTTAAACCAGCTGGGAATCGTAACAACATTTATGTAGTTTAATACAGACAAATGATTCTCCAGAGAAAGTTACTTCACTGCAACTTAAGAGGCTGATAAGATCACATTTCCATCAAAATGTAGCAATTCAATACATGCTACTAACTCTTGAGGAGGACATGATTTTTCTTCCACTGCTTGTGGAGTAAAGAACCAACTATTGTTTTTAAATATAAATATAATAACAAATCCAGGTTTTAGCAGCGGTTTAGTTTTTCATTTAATGTCCACAACAGTGGATCAATAATTATCAATATCGACTGACATGAAACCGTAGTAGTGATAGGTTTTTCAGCTATATTGCCCCGTCCTAAAAAATATGATTAGTTTTCCTTGTATTAGTTTGGTGCTTTTTTTGCTCCATAAAAGAAAATGGATCTATCATCTTCATTTTCCCAGTTTTGTTTTTCTCTCTCTTAAGGTCTACCAGTAAAATAAAATGGTGATTCTTTAAAAATGACAGCAAAATGTTCTACCGTAGATATTCAGTGGAGTTCAGCTACACTTTATTTTGGTGAATTATCAATATTACACACAGAAAACAGAAACAAACTACTTTACAAACCCAAACAGGCAAAGACTGAAGCTAAAGCTGATGCTTTATCGTCAAACATTATAATCTTTCTTCAAATGATCAACTGGCCTCATTAAAATGCAGTGAAGTTAAAATGGCTCTTTGGACTATAAATGTTGCTAAGCCTTCCTGTACAGGTCCAGTTATTGGGTTTTACAAGCTCAGAAGCTCCTGAACGAGTTAAAGAGACGCCACAGTCAAAACCAGCTGAAAGCTTTATCTTTTTCACCCTGAGAAAACAACAGCGAGCAACGATCACTTCCTGCAAGGGGACAAACAACAAGACACTCAGTCCTGAACAATGACGCAGGTGGCAGGTGTTAGTTTGTACATGTTTAGTGCCAACAATAGCCACAAAGACAAAGCATCACACTGATACACATATCATTATGGTATAGAGGTATGACAGCAGCTAAAGTGAATAAAATGGATTTTGGGAAAAACCCTGCTTAATGTAGCAGCAGCTTGCAGCCCCAACAGGCCATGCTTCATTGACTACATTAGTCACAGAGTTCAGGTTTGCTCCTACAGTTACTAACACAGCAGGATGACAGTCAGAGAGAGAGAGAGAGAGGAGCTTGTGACAGGAAGGTCAGTGGTTTTTTATAACCTTTTGACCAGCTGGGAAAATCCAGCTAAAAGAGAACGAAATGAAAAACAGCTGCAGATCCTCATATGAGCTCCAATCAGAGGGACGTTTCCTTTTCTCAACTGTCTGATAATATCTAACTTAAAAGCCTCGTAAAAACGCTTCTGACCTGCATTGTGACTCAAAGTGCCGTGTTTATTCTGGGTGATTAGAGCCATTTATGTGACTGAACTAAAATACTGTGAGAAAGTAGTCTAGTCTAGAAATCAAGACTAGTTATTTACACTTCTGTTTTCTGTCAAGATGTCAGCTGGAAGCAAAGTTAAAAAGAAATTGGTGTGAAATTCTCAGAATAGCCTTCAGATTTTTTCCTCTGCGTACGTCCAGGCCTGTCGCTATAACACATTTTGCTGGATGATACATTATCCCAGTACTTATTGTGATAAATTATTATGTAGTTTCTAGTAATGTATTAATAGCGGCATAATAACATAGGTTCACCCTGATTACGACTGATAAACTTTAATTTTGTAAAGAACCTGTGACACTGGAACTGGCAGATGATTTAAATATCCAAAATAAAACACGGCAACCAAAAACTGTAAATAAAACGGAAATAAAAACTGCATACAACCGAAACCATCAATAGAATGTATTATTACGTTTCTGTAATCAATATCGCCCGTCAAAAAATACTGCCAAGACTGGAAATACGAATGGAAATTATAGTTATTTGCTCTATCTCCCGCTTCATCGGCCATTGTTACTAGAGCAAAACTCTCCCCGACCCGTCCTTCGAATCCTTTTGAGGAGCGTTTAAATTTGCAATCGGCCTTCAAATGGAGCCTTTGCAGGATGCAGCACTCGAATACGGACTCACCCTTGGTCTTTACAAGGTTCTAAAATTATGTCTTACCTTAAGTATACAAAAACACATTCCAGAGACTGATTAAATTACACAGAAAACAACTACATTAGATTATTTTAGCCAGAGGAGGTTCTACAAGCTACTGAGCCATGTGTTTAAAATACCTTTTCCGTTTTGGCTTCTTTCTTGTGTGGTAATTTCCATGCTAACATGTGTAAAAATACCCAATTGAATTAGGCAGGAAATGTCGAAACATAAAATGATTCAAGAGACCTTTGAATCATAAGCAATAACCCAACAGAAAGTTAGAATAAAAAGGACCAAAGTCTTAAAAAAGACTGAGTAAAATGTGAATATTTACATCCTGACAGCAGGTTCTGACGTTAGATGAAATCTTCAAAGTGGTCATCTCTTCACTATCATTCATAGCATGAAAATAAGCATCATGTGAGTCGGTCTAATTACAGAATTACCCTATTTGCATGTAGGCCCAGGTACAACTATAGCCGCAGGGTGTTGGCGGTGAAACATTTGATCTCAGGCTAATGTCTAATGACTTTATTAATCAGATGCTATGGTTTTATTTTAAAGCTTATGAACTTTCACCAAATGAACCTGTTTGAGCTATAAGCCAAAGGTTAGCTGTCCTAAAACTGTTGATATACTGTTTATCTGGTGACATAAACAGTAATTATCTGTATAAATTCCATTTTTAAAGGTAATTAATTAAGATTTTGCAAAAAGACTCGTATAGGATGTTGGTTGGAATTGCAGGTTGTAGTATTCAGAGAAATCCTTGAGACCTTATTTGTAGAAAAGGCAAATTTTTAATAGAGTTTTGGTTCCCTATACACCAGGAATCCTAAACATAATGGCTCCTCTTTGTAGTTGCAAAGCTGATTTGTGGGACTCCACCAAGACGATTGCAGACTTAAGAGGACATCTCTATACTTTAAGAATTGCTTAATTTTATGAAAAGAAGCGACAGGGCTTGTTATGTTACATTATGTCACGTTACATGGTGTTGTGTGATAATACATAGTTATTACATAGTTATGTTACATGACGTTACATTATGTGGTGCTACATATAGTGTAGCACCACATAATGTAGTTATATTACATTTCAATCAAATTGGATTATTAACTTTAATCCAACTTGATTAAAATTAATCAAATAATTGCTGAATCTGTAGTTAATAGTAATGATTGCATTTCAATCAAAAACTACACTGACTAAATAATACACATTTTCAGTTCATAAACCATTTTTGCAGCTAAATTATTGAATAAATAGACATATGGTACAGAGTCGTCTTGGCACCATTCTGATGCTTTC